GGTCCCTGGCCAGGCGCATCTACGAGGCCTACTTGCGGAACTTCAACATGAACAAGGCCAAGGCCCGGGGCTTTCTGGCCGGCAAGGCCGCCAACAACCCGGTGGGTGTCGGCTGCGTGGTCTCCCCGTCTGCGGTCCCCTGGTCGGTGTCAGCCTGGGTGGCAGGAAGAGCTGGAAACAGGCCTTAGGTGGTGGGAAAACATCTACCCCGAGGCCCGGGGGCCAGGGCAGGGGGACGCTTCTGTCAGAGACGCTAACGTGTCGCTCACCCTCTGTCCTCGGCTTTGATCTGCCGGGAGCTCCCAGCCACCACGTTCTTAGAATGAGTGTGTAATTGTAACACTCACAGCTCCCAGCGACCACGTTCTTAGAATGAGTGTGTAATTGGTGCACACACAGCTCCCAGCGACCACGTTCTTAGAATGAGTGTGTAATTGGTGCACACACAGCTCCCAGCGACCACGTTCTTAGAATGAGTGTGTAATTGGTGCACACACAGCTCCCAGCGACCACGTTCTTAGAATGAGTGTGTAATTGGCGCACTCACAGCTCCCAGCGACCATGTTCTTAGAATGAGTGTGTAATTGGTGCACACACAGCTCCCAGCGACCATGTTCTTAGAATGAGTGTGTAATTGGTGCACACACAGCTCCCAGCCACCACGTTCTTAGAATGAGTGTGTAATTGGTGCACACACAGCTCCCAGCGACCACGTTCTTAGAATGAGTGTGTAATTGGTGCACACACAGCTCCCAGCGACCATGTTCTTAGAATGAGTGTGTAATTGGCGCACGTGCGTACACACACACACACACACACACACACACACACACACGTCTAGTTAGTAGCTACCGGATTCCAGGGCCGTTTCTGAAGTGCATTTTGAAAAATCCCCATTTTAATGCCATAGAATGAAACCATTTACTTCCCACCCACATGTGTTCCTGCAGGCGTCCTCCCCACACTCACGCTGCCTCCTCTTGGGCCCCCCCACCCCCCTTTTCTTCAATGAGAAGGCGGGGTACCTGAGGGCTTAGAAGGGCCTGTGCTGACGGCACTGCACTGTTGTGGGCAGTTCTGGCCTCTGCCTCCTCAGGAGCCTCTGTGAGTGCCCCTGGGGACCCCCCTTCCCGCACGGCCTCCCCTGCCAGCCCTCGTCCTGCTGCCCCGCCCCCTCCGTAACCCGTCGCCTCCGCTGCAGAGCTCTCCTCCGAGCTGCCCTCAGAGAGGGGGCGGCGAGGTTGGCAGATGAAGACGTTGGCCTTTCCCTCGGACCCGGGGCTCGGGTCCCATGGGTGCTCATGAGTCGCTTGAAGCCGCCTCCTTGGGAATCACAAGCTGGAAGTTGCAGTCACAGGAAAGGAAAGTATTTCCCAAGCTCCTGGCTTTCATGAACAAACCAAACCTCTTTTCTTACGGAGCCTTTTAATTCCCATGGGCTCTCCCATTAAAGGGGCTGAGGCGCTGAGGAGGGTTCAGGCAGCTGTTAAACAAGCCACAGCCACGCCCGGCAGCCAGGGGCGCCTGCAAATTAGACCCTCTCTGAGCCACAAGGGTTAAAGCCAAATAACCTTTAAAATGTTTTTTAATTGATTTTAGAGAGAGGGAGGGAGGGGAGAGAGAGAGGGGAGTTGTTGCACGTATTCATGCATTCATCAGTTGCCTTGTGGTGCTCTGCCCGGGGACTGAACCGCAGCCTGGGCGTATCGAGACGACAGCGAACCAGCTGAGCCACCCGGGCAGCCTTTTCCCTTGGCATTTCCGTCCTGGAGGCAACTAGTGAGTGCGGCCCGAGGTAGAGGGACCGACGCCCTGATTCCTTCACGTCGTCTTAGGTCTCTGACATCTTCGCTCTCCCTGGGATTTTCAGAACTTAAAGGAAACTTAAAACTTATCTTTACTCTTTTTAAAAAATATATGTTTTTATTGATTTGAGAGAGAGAGGGAGACAGACATCAATGTTGAGCATTGACCCATGGAGGTCACCGTTCAATTCCAGGTCAGGGCACACGCCTGGGTTGCGGGCTTAGATCCCCAGTGTGGGGCGTGCAGAAGGCAGCTGATCGATGATTCTCTCTCATCATCAATGTTTCTATCTCCCTCTCCCTTCATCTCTGAAATCAATAAAAATATGTTGAAAAAATAATTTTAAAAAATAAAAAGTGAAGCAAGGAGACGACCTGTTGACATGTGGCTGAGAACGGGTCTGAAACTGGTTGGGGAAGGAGTTCCCCCGTCATTCTCCACATCGCAGCGCCCGGCGAGGCTCCCGGCACCCCAGGACCACACGGCCCTCGGACGGCTGCCTGGCGCCACGCCGGGCCTTCCTCCTGCTCGGTGGGAATACGCATGCGACTTAAGTTGTCCCTGGATTGAAAAACAGACCTAATATTTATACCATTTCTAGAAATGTGTAGTGAAATCCAACCAGAAGTCATGAACTAATTCCATCCAGAGCGATCCTGCCACAACTCACAGATGTTCCCTAAAAGATGGCGCTGCCTCGCTTCCCACAGGAAATGCCATTTCACTGTCCTCTGGGGCTGGGTTGTCCTAAGTGACATCGTCACACACACAGGATGGCGTGGGTCGGCGGGGAGCCTGCGGGTCTTGGCGGGTCGCCGTCGGGGGCCGGGCGCTGTCTGCCCCGCGCTGCTCACACTCTGACGACTGCTTACGCATTGGGAACGGCCACTTGTGATGTCAGACGTGAGCAGACTCAGACCTGAGCGTCAAGGGCAGGTTCCGAAGGGAAGGCTCAGCTGCACGGGTTTTTAACAGTCTCACCACCAATGTGGAAGTTGGGCAA